GCGCGGTTCGTCTGGTTGCACCAGCCTCAAATGAACCGTACGTACAATATCGTGCCTGTAAAAGAAAGCAACTTAACAGGTGCAATATTGTTAGCAACATGCATGACAATGCAAGATGAATGCAAAATGATATCCAATATATACAAAACTATGTATAAACAATGCAAATGATATGCAATGCAATTGAAACATGATCAAACCATAAGCAGTTCAAAACCACACAAATATCATAAAGATGATAGAGATAACAAGTTCGTCTACCATAGAAAAGGTGCTGCAACCCTCAAAGCGCGTACACATGCAGAACTATGAGTGACGTAGACGGACGCAAGAACAAGAAATTGGGTGGAATGACATAAGTGGTAACGAAAGAACATGATCCTAATGCAGGATGCAAAAATTACACTACAATATAATATATACAACGGATATGGCGCGCGGGCCAAACCAAATCTTGCCTAGGAAAGGCATGGACACATACAAATCACGTCTAACATAGAACGGTCATACAGAACTATGAGTGTATAGACGTGAAAAGTATGGGCACATACCAGACCAAGCTCAATCAAGGAAAGGTGCAAGCCATAAATGGAGGTGATGCAGTGGATGCATGCAAGTTATAATGCAATATGCACTAGAATGGAATATATACAATGGATAAGGCACGCGAGCCAAACCAAATCTTGCCTAGGAAAGGCATGGACACATACAAACCGTGTCTAACACAGAAAAGGTGCCGCAACCCTCAAACCAACATACCAGCATGGAATAGGCGCGTACATATGCAGAACTGTGCTTTAACGTGAAAAGTATGGGCACATACCAAACCAAGCTCAACAAGGAAGGCGCAAGCCATAGATCGAGGTGATGCAGTGGATGCATGCATTTACAATGCAATATATACAATATGCAGCGGATGGGAAGGATACAACGAAATGCATGACATATGCACTATATACAAGGGAATGCATGACATATGCACTATGTACAATGTAATGCATGACATATGCACTATTTACGATGCAATGCATGACATATGCACTATATACAATGTAATGCATGACATATGCACTATATTACAATGAAATGCATGACATATGCATTTTGTTTTTTGTTGTTTTTGTTTTGGTTTTATTTGAAATGCATGTTGATGCATGCTGATGTAAACGTGTGACAACGCACGTCTTGTGATATGCATGACAATGCAAATGATCTTGAATGTGCGACCATGTGTGTCGTTCGAAATGCTAATGAACTCGAATGCGCGATGACGCGCATCACTTGAAATGCGTGATAATGCATGTGAACTAGAATATGCGACGACGGGAGTCGCTTGAAATACATATACAATGCAACTTACCAAAAGTCGTTCGGGCACAACAAACACCAAAGGACTTGCACCTTCAGAGGATTTAAGGTCTCCTAGATCGAGCGTATTTAAGGTCTCGCCAGACCATAGCGAATGCATAACAATGCAAGCATAATGACATATAACTCAACACGTGTTTGCAAAACAACGTATGTGGGGCAACTTTCGAATCTTAAAAGAGACAAAAGGATACAAAAAGGATACACCTTGCACATATTCGAGTGTCATGCACGGAAGACACGGTCCGAGGTCAAAACGGAGGCCAGTTGAGCTTCGAAAATGCACTATCTTGCACTATCTTGAGCAATAACTGCCCCAAACTATACATATGACCCAAACAAGGTTGTAGGAGGCTCACCGGCCATCAAGGGAGGTCACCGGCCATCCACTGGCCATCAAAACATCTCACCGGCCAAATGTTTGGCCCACCGGCCAAATATGTAGCCGGCCGGACAAATCTTGCTGAATCGGGGCAGTTTTGTCCTTTCGCCTTGGGTCTTTTAAAATAGGGTTTCAAACCCTATTCCTTTCATTTTCCTTGGCCGAAATTTCTTTCCCTCTCTCTCTAGAGTATTTTCTCCCCCTCGATCCTCCATTTTCTTGCGTTTCGCGCCCGTTTCATCATTCAATTCACGAAGTTCTTCGCGTTTCGAACATTTTGAACCGAACATTTCTTCGTTTCGGTATTTCTTTTGCTATTTCCACCTTTTAGGGTTTGTTCCCCTCAAGTTTCTCTTGATTTTCGTGCTTTTTTCATTTCCCGCCTTTTTCGGCCATTTTCTGCCCTTTCGGGGTTGACTTTTTTAGTTGACCTTTCACATTCTCATCCGGTTTCCACTTTCCTGGTCATTTTCACACCACCTTTGACATGGCGGATGATATTCCACGGGGCGGGACTCCTCCGGATCACGAGGTGGACCCAGAGGCCGAGCTCCTCCCCTTGAGTGTCCGCCCGTTCGACCCGGCGACCTACAGGCCGGCGGTTCACGTGCTTCCTCCCGATGGACTTTGTTAGTTCTGGAGTTTTGCGAGAGGCGTGCCATCAAAGTTCCTTCTGCGCGAGCCGGAGTCACACCTATCATACGGCGCTTCCGAGGTATATTCTTCCCCGTTTCGTTTTCCGCAATGTAGAACACTTAACTGCCATAGTTGATTTTGTTCTTTAACTGCTTAACCCGGATACATCGATACACTGTATGTTGTAGTTGACTGTGAACACACTTGCACTCGATGTCTGTTTGAATCTGAACACGCACACACACGTTGCATTGTCACCGAACCACCCAAACACACTAGCACATCGCATGTCGTAGTTCACTATAAACACACCGGCACCCGATGTTTGCTTAAACCTGAAAACACGTACTCACGCTGTATCTATACTGGACCCCTTGGAAACAATGACACGTCATATGCCGTAATTCACTTCGAGTACACCGACACTTGATATCTATTTGAATCTAAAAATGTGCACACATGCTATATTTGCATCAATTTTTGACTGTTCTTCAAAACTGTACATTGAATATTGTTTCGCAACTATTTGCTTTTGAACAGGGAGATTCCCATACTGTCCGCAGGTATGGGAATGTCGCCGCCAGGGATTGGTACATGGAGCTACCTGACGCAGTTCGCCACATCGTGGATCAGGCCGGCTTCGGCGCATTTTGCAGGGGACTCTCCTGTCTTACTGCAAGCAGGCCTCTCCTCGCCGCTCTAGTGGAGAGGTGGTGGGACACTACCGACTCATTCCATTTCTCTGCCACGGGAGACATGACGATGACTCCGTATGATTTCTCGATGCTCACCGGCATCAGGATAGGGGGTGATCCGATCCCTTTCGACACAAATATGGACGAGTAGGAGGCCGCTCAGATCTACTTGCTTGGTGAGGTGCCGCCTCTCACGCGTCCTGGCTTCGTCAAGTATTCATGGTTCGAGGTCTAATTCAAAGTTCAGCCGGCCTTAGTTGAGGAGGCTCTGATGACCCAGGAGGCGGTGGAGCGATATGCACGCGGCTTCCTCATGTTTCTGCTGGGAATGACTATCTTCGCCGATCGGGCGAACACAATGCCCCTCTGTTTGTTGAGTGCACTGGTGGACGTCACACGGATTCTGCGCTTCGACTAGAGTGGCGCTACTCTAGCCACTCTATACAGATACATGAGCTCAGCCTCCCGTTGCAGTGGGCAGTTACTCAGGGGTTACTGGCGAGCTTGAGAGGTACACCTCTTTCTCTGTTTTACATTTCTACCTTTCATTTTCTGTACTCTGTACACTGCACACACTGCAGTCTGCTTCACACTGAATGTACACTGCACACATGGTGCACATATACCCTGCTTTACATTGACTGTACACTGCACACACTGTACACTCTGTACAATACACTGCACAATACACGATTCTGCAATTTCTGCTTTATTCTGTATTCTACTTTATCTGATAATCCTGTTGGTATTTACTCTGCAGTTGTGGGTCTACGCCTATTTTTCGAGACTCACCCCAGTGCCAGACGTGGAGACCCCTCTCGTCGTTCTGTTTTCGCGCCGCTTTGACGTGAGGTGCGTGCGGAGGCCCCGGAAGACGTTTATCTTTTTCCGCCGCTACTTCGACACCATCACCCCCGCAGAGGTATGTTTAACTTTTAGAGTTTTATTTGGCTTGGCTTTACACTGTATTTTCAATAACAATAGATAACAAACTGCATGTCATGTACAGATCACTTGGCAGCCTTGGGCTCCATTGCCTGCGATGATTCGAGATCAATTTGCTGGTGCAGAGGAGACTGCACAGGGCAGTTACTCGGGGGTTACTGGCGAGCTTGGGAGGTACACCTCTTTCTCTGTTTTACATTTCTGCCTTTCATTTTCTGTACTCTGTACACTGCACACACTGCGGTCTGCTTCACACTGAATATACACTGCACACACGGTGCACATATACCCTGCTTTACACTGACTGTACACTGCACACACTGTACACTCTGCACAATACACTGCACAATACACGATTCTGCAATTTCTGCTTTATTATGTATTCTACTTTATCTGATAATCCTGTTGGTATTTACTCTGCAGTTGTGGGTCTATGCCTATTTTTCGAGACTCGCCCCAGTGCCAGACGTGGAGACCCCTCTCGTCGTTCTGTTTTCGCGCCGCTTTGACATGAGGTGCGTGCGGAGGCCCCGGAAGACGTTTATCTTTTTCCGCCGCTACTTCGACACCATCACCCCCGCAGAGGTATGTTTAACTTTTAGAGTTTTATTTGCCTTGGCTTTACACTGTATTTTCAATAACAATAGATAACAAACTGCATGTCATGTACAGATCACTTGGCAGCCTTGGGCTCCATTGCCTGCGATGATTCCAGATCGATTTGCTGGTGCAGAGGAGACTGCACATTTCAAGATTTTGCTGGAGGGCCCAGTCTGTCGGGCTTGGTACCTGGGTGAGCGTTTCCTACGCCAGACCTTGGGTTTGTCAGAGCAAATAGTTCCGGGTCCGCCTCCTACCCACATGAGGGACACCGAGAGGTGCACTGCCAAGGAGATGGCCGATTACACGATCGGCTGGGACGCGGAGGGCTTTAGGGGCGAAGGTGACTACTCAAAGTACGTTCGGACGTACATTATGCGGCCTCTAAGCAGTGGCCGTCGAGCTGAGAGGGAGAGGCCTGCGGTGCCGGTAGTTGGAGCGGGAGCAAGGGCAGGGACGTTTAGGACAACTCATGTCTGTGGCAGGAGCGGAGCTTGGAGGGGTCGGGGGGTTAGCTGGCTAGCGCTACCCACGATGATGACATGTAGAGGACGGGGCGGGGCAACTTACCAGATTCCCATTGCTCCCCCTCCAGCTGATCATGAGTTGGTCGGGTTCTATGACTTACCTCCGGTATGTACTACTTCATCTTGCATCTTGCATTGTCATTTTATTTCAGTTTATTGATATTTCGCAGAATACTGATACATTTAATACTTTCGCAGGCCTCTTCTGAGTACACTCGCCAATCCCTAGAGCTGACCGCCTCCGTGATGGGGATGCTCCAGCAGAGCCTCGACCTTCTGGCGATTTATAGCATTCTGGTATGTTCCTCTGACCGCGGTCTCAAACCATACATAAACTGTTTCACATACCTGATGCACAACAGGACACTGGATACACTGCCCTCACAGCATTTGACATACTGCAACTCACAGACTGTTCACAGCACTATCTACGGCATTTATACACTGTACTCGTACACTACATTCTGCACTGACACACTGCTTGCAGTATCCACCACTCCGAGTAACCCCTCAGTATACTCCCTGGGAGGCTGCACACACAAGTTCAAGTCATCAGTGAATGAATGAATGTCTAAATATCTGAATGATAAATGAAGACTGTAAAACATACCGGTGGCGAGGCAGGGTCACTGATGTGTCGGTGATCCAGCCGCGGAGGCTCTAGCGGGATCTGGTATGGTGTCCCATGCTCTCAACCTGTTAGCCCGGTTGGAAGATCTAGCCATCCGACATACTGGAAAGTAGAGGGCATCCATCCAGCCCCACCCCTCGATGTGCTGGCTCCGCTAGTCGAAGGAATGCCTCTAGCTCGGGCGCGACTCGAGGAAAGCACGTCAGCAGTCCTCCTCCTACAAGCACGGACATCTGACAGTAGAGGCATCAGGTGCGTATGGCGATATGTCGCGTAATCCCCCTCTTCCAGAAAAAGGATTGCATCAATACCCAGCATAAGGTCCTTCGTCTTTCGGGGCGTAAGATCCCCTGCGGACCGCATCTCTGGTGAAGGCGGTAAGGGAACGTCCTGATCGGAGTTGCCCATCGTCTGGCGCATGAAGCGCTCGCTGAGGAAGCAGGCTCTGCCGACCGGTCCCTCAAGCAGGACCCTATATCGCGAAGTGCCCCATGGCCCAGCGAATAGAAATCGAGGATTTCCCGGCATGGCTATCCACGGCTGCCAGGACACCTGCGAGTAGCAAGTGCTTAAATTGATTAGATGTAATAAATATGAAAGATAAATCAAAGCAGAAAGCATGAAGAACTAAGAGTTCTGGATTACCTCTGTCGCCCGTATAGTATCGAAGAACTGCCGGAGATAGGGCAAAGTCTCCCGGGGCCTGGGCCGACACCGACCCTCAAATATACGCGAGTAAGGGATCACAAAGGGTGCCTCGACCTCTAGCTCAGGGGCCAGTGTCGGGAAGTACGCATAAACCCACAGCTATGAAAGGCGAGACAACGGCTGTCAGAATACAGAATGCTGTGTGTAGTGTACAATATACAAAATGCTGAGTGCAGAATGTCAGAATACAGAATGCTATGTGCAATGTACAATGTACAGAGAATACAGAATGCTGAGTGCAGAATGTTGTGTGCAGCGTACAATATACGAAATGCTGAGTGCAGAATGTCAAAATACCAAATGTTGTGTGCAGTGTACAGTATACAGAATGCTGAGTGCAGAATGTCAGAATACAGAATGCTGAGTGCAGAATGCTATGTGCAGCATACAATATACATAATGCTGAGTGCAGAATGTTAGAATACAGAATGTTGTGTGCAGTGTACAATATACAGAATGCTGAGTGCAGAATGTCAGAATACAGAATGCTGTGTGCAGTGTACAATATACAGAATAATGCTGAGTGCAGAATGTCAGAATACAGAATGTTGTGTGCAGTGTACAGTATACAGAATGCTGAGTGCAGAATGTCAGAATACAGAATGTTGTGTGCAGTGTACAGTATACAGAATGCTGAGTGCAGAATGTCAGAATACAGAATGTTGTGTGCAGTGTACAGTATACAGAATGCTGAGTGCAGAATGTCAGAATACAGAATGTTGTGTGCAGTGTACAGTATACATAATGCTGAGTGCAGAATGTCAGAATACAGAATGTTGTGTGCAGTGTACAGTATACAGAATGCTGAGTGCAGAATGTCAGAATACAGAATGCTGTGTGCAGTGTACAATATACAGAATGCTAAGTGCAAAATGCTGAGTGTAGAGAGTTGAGTGCAGAATATATAGAAAATACAGAATGCTAAGTGCAGAATGTAGAATACAGAATGTAATGTGTGCCGTGTGCAGTGTACAAATAATCGAAAGTAGAACTGTAAATTAAGAGGGCAGAATGTACCTCCCAGGCTTGCCAGTAGTCTTCAACTATGGTCCCCTGCTCACGGGAGGTTGGGCTCATGTAGCAGTAAAGGGTAGCAAGGCCCGTGCCACCCCAATCATACTGACTGACCCGTGATAGGTCTACCAGAGCACTGAGCAGATAAAGCCCAACTGTGTTCTCCCTGTCAGAGAACAGTGTGGTCCCGAAGAGGAACATCAAGAATCCTCGAGCATACTGATGTACGGTCTCAATGGTCTGGGGCGAAGTCCCCCTGTACTGCTCGGAGAACCAGGTGTACCTGACCCTACCTGATGATCTATCGATCGGTGGACGGTCTCCGAGCAAATAAATCCACGTGGCCTCTCACTCGCCCATATCTACGTCATATGGAATTGGCCGGCCTGCCACGTCAAGGCCCGTCAACATGGAGAAGTCATATGGAGTCATCGTTATGTCCCTAATAGCTGAAAAATTGAAGGAGTTGGTGGTGTCCTACCATCTCTCTACAGGTGCGCCTAAGAGGGCGCTATTCGCTGGATGACGTGACAATCCTGCATAGAATAGGCCAAACCCTGCCTCATCCACTCCTTCGCGAGGATGGACCAATAACCCCGTGTGAAACGGGAAGATACCTACATTCAGAATGAACAGATATATTCAGTTTTTGAATAAAATGTATGAGCTACGTGTTCAAATTTAAATGTATGAGCTGCGTGTTCAGAATAAAATGTATGTGCTATGGTTTCAAATTCAAATGTATGGGCTGTGTGCAAATGAAAATGTATGAGCTGCGGTTTCAAATTCAAGTGTATAAGCTGCGTGTTCAGAATAAAATGTTTGAGCTGCGGTTTCAGATTGAAATGTATGGGCTGCGTGCAAATGAAAATGTGTGAGCTGCATGTTCAAATTCAAATGTATGGGCTGCGTGCAAATGAAAAACGTGAGCTGCGTGTTCACCAAAAATTTGAGCTGCGTGTTCAAAATTTCAAAAGATGTGAGCTGCGTGTTCACCAAAAAATTTGAGCTGCGTGTTCAAAATTTCAAAAGATGTAAGCTGTGTGTTCACCAAAAAATTTGAGCTACGTGTTCAAAATTTCAAAAAACGTGAGCTGCGTGCGTGTTCACAAAAAATTTGAGCTGCGTGTTCAAAATTTCAAAAAATGTGAGCTGCGTGTTCACCAAAAAATTTGAACTCCGTGTTCAAAATTTCAAAAAATGTGAGCTGCGTGTTCAATTAAAAATTTGAGTAGCGTGTTCAAATTTTCAAAAGATGTGAGCTGCATGTTCACCAAAAAATTTGAGCTGTGTGTTCAAAATTTCAAAAGATGTGAGCTGTGTGTTCACCAAAAAATTTAAGTTGCGTGTTCAAAATTTCAAGAGATGTGAGCTGCGTGTTCACCAAAAAATTTGAGCTGCGTGTTCAAAATTTCAAAAAATGTGAGCTGCGTGTTTGCCAAAAAATTTGAGCTGCGTGTTCAAAATTTCAAAAAACGTGAGTTGCATGTTCACAACAAAAAATTTGAGCTGCGTGTTCAAAATTTCAAAAGATGTGAGCTGCGTGTTCACCAAAAAATTTGAGCTGCGTGTTCACCACAAAAAATTTGAGCTACGTGTTCAAAATTTCAAAAAATGTGAGCTGCGTGTTCACCACAAAAAGTTTGAGCCGCGTGTTCAAAACTTGAAAAATGTGAGCTGCGTGTTCACCATAAAATTTTTGAGCTACGTGTTCAAAATTTCAAGAGATGTGAGCTGCGTGTTCACCACCAAAAGTTTGATTTGCGTGTTCAAATTTCAAAAATGTGACCTGCGTGTTCACCACCAAAAGTTTGAGCTGCGTGTTCAAATTTCAAAAATGTGAGCTGCGTGTTCACAACAAAAGTATGAGCTGCGTGTTCAAAAATTCAAAAGTTTGAGTTGTGTGTTCAAAATGCAAAAGTGTGCAGTGTTATGAGTTGTGTGCTGATCAAACAGAATGCTGTGTTATGGACTGCGTGTTCAGATTGAGCAGTGTTATGAGCTGTGTGCCGATCAAACAGAATGTTGTGTTGTGGACTGCGTGTTCAGATTGAGCAGTGTTATGAGCTGTGTGCCAACCAAACGGAATGCTGTGTTATAGACTGTGTGTTCAGATTGAGCAGTGTTATGAGCTGTGTGCCCAAATATGCTATGTGCCCAAATGTGCTGTGTGCCCAAATGAGTTGTGCACAAATTAACCAAGCGTTGTGTAGTAAGTTGTGTGCCAAGACAGCAGAATTCTATCTACAAACTGTGTGTTTAGAATGAGTGAAGCGCTATGTACGTGAATATGTTCATGACAAGCAGACAGGATACATAGCGAAAATACATAGCAGAAAATGTGCAAATGTAGTGCGTACCTCATGCGCGTGATGAGATAGATAGGACTCCGGCTCCCGCAGCAGTAGGTCTTCAGGTGCCCGCCGCGCGAAGTCCGTGAAGTGGTAGAAGGTGCTACGAGGAAGGATATGCTCCTCCGGTTGTACCCCTCAGGGTCTAATGGCCATATCCTCAGAGGTAACGGTATGATGTCGGGCTCGTTCTCTGCATATGGAAAGCCTCCACCATACGAAATATCGTCGACCATCTGAAAAAATCTGCAAAAGATGCAAAAACGAGCGAAATGAGCCAAAATCATAAAAAGTCAACAAAAGTTAACTCTCGGGAAGAGAAAAAGTCAACAAAAGTCAACACCCGAGAAAAGGTGCCAAACTTTGAGACAAACATACCTCAAGTGGTTAAAATGGAGAAAAAGGCTCTAAAAACAAATTCTAATCAGTGCAAATCGAAGAAAATTGAAAGTTTTCGCGAAACAACTTCGTGTGGGGCGTTGGAAAACGCGTATAAAGTGTAGATCTGAGAGAGAAAAGGGTCTAGGGAGCAAGAAGAATGTATTTCAGCCTTGGAGGTGTGATACAAAGTGATTTGGAGTTGTGTACTTAAAGAACCGAAGCTAAAAGACCAAACTTCCCCGAATTTCTGTAAACTAATCGGCCAGCCAGTTTTTCTGGTCGCACGCATTGTCGCGCATGTTTCACCTGCATTGTTATGTACACCACTTGTGGCTTTGTTACACACTCACTACTTGTGTTGGCACATTCGTTTCGGCTGCATTGTTTTGCATCCATACTGCATTGTTATGCGTCACACTTAGGTTGCATTGTCATGCATCCCTCGACTTGCGTTATTACGCGCTTTTCACTTGCATTGCTATGCATGTTTCTAACAATATTGTACCTGTTGAGTTTCTCTCTTTTGCAGGCACGATATTGTATGTACAGTTCATTTGAA